CTGCTCAATATATATCTCTATAAAAACAGTAAATGAAACATTACAACGATACAATGAAAATGTGGAGCACAGAACAACACTATTTAATGAATATTCACAAAAACATTAACATTACATGAAAAGCAATAAATTCAATTCAATTTAGCAGATCCTTCAAAATAAAAGCAGTGCAGTTGTATTGCTTGCATCTATATTACGACGATATATATTTGCATTGACTTTTAATTTGCCAGTGACCTCATGCAGGCCAGTCAGGGTCAGCCATCGGGCCAGATCTGGCCCGCGGGCCGTACAATGCCCAGGTCTGCTCTAAAGCATGGGTCCTCAAACTATGGCCCGTGGGCCGGATACGGCCCACTATGCCCATTTATCTGGCCCACCTCAGAGGTTTTGGACTTGCCTTGCTGCACCTGTGGCCGCTGCGCATGTGCCCATCGCTGCCTCGTCAGCCTGCACCCACGGGCACTGCTCCCTCGCTGCACCTGTGCACATGGGCACCGCCACCTTTCAACTGGCCCCCTGTTGAAAAAGTTTGAGGACCCCTGCTCTAAAGCATATTATTCCAGTAACTTCCTTAAGGTCACAAAGTACCCATTGTAGTAATAATATTTAACCAAGCCTTTCACAGATCAGGAGTAGACCATGGGACATATGCGTCCTTCCCCTAATTTGCCCCATCATACCCACATTTGGGTGTTTTGCTTAACCTGCTTCTGCATTACATGAGACCACTGCTAGCCCTCTGGTGAAATCTGTGAAATCTGGTACCCTCCTAATTCCAGTACGTTGAACTGACCCACAGCCAGCAAAAATATCCCTGAATTATTGCTGTATCTGCACCATGCCCTGGAATCTATGGCTAAAGTGGTACTGGAACTGCCTTATTGCCCAGAGCTCACACTTTTGGTCACTATAATACATGACTTCACTTTCTCTCCACCCCATCCCACCTACATCATGTTCCAAGGTAAGAAAGAACTCTCCTGAAGTCTTCCAGAACATGGTAAGTGAGCACTTTCATCCTAACAGGTAACAAGATATAAATATTTGTACATTCTTGTATGATACCTGTTACATGATACAGCTCCTTGGTGGTCTAGAATGTTTAGCATTCTTACCTTTGTGCTCCAGGATTTGATTCCCAAAGAAAATTATTTATGTAAGGGGCTGTAACATATGCTAAAATGTCCCAGTTTCAATCCTTGGGATCTTCAGAAAGGGCTGGGAGTGATTCCGTATATATCAGCTTCCTGGGTATACAGCAACAATTTTCAGACTTCCTGCCTTTAGGGAAGACTATCCCCGTGAACACTGTTGGTGATTTTCTGTATGTTAAAGAATTCTGGAAAGAATGGTAGGGTGTAAGAACTCAGAGCTCAGTCTAGAGCATAACCTGGAGCTGTGCATTTTAGAGAACCATTGCATATCTTCTCATTAGCAACCCCTGATAAATGTCTGAAGAAAATCTACATTCTCTGAGATTCTGAAAACCACTGATGTAGAACCATGCAGAGTCTTTAGTATCTACAATATTCACAGACTCAATATTCCTACCGTTCACAGGGTAGTTAGGCTAATATAAGGTATCACTGGATTTTAGATTAACTATCTGGTAACAACTGCCTATATGATGCAAACACCAACTCCAAACCAAAGTCTGCTGAAAAACATTAGTAGGATGTGGTTTTAGAAGCTGAGGAAAAACATTTTCAAGAAGAATGTGTTTTGCAATATTTTAATAGTAATGCATTTTTTTCAACAACAGATTCTGACTGTAATTTTATTTTTTGGGTATTGTCTCAGCTGTGATCACCATGTGAGTGAACCAATTCAATCTTTTCCATTTTCTTCTCTTTCCTTCCCCACATCCTACTGGACCCCATCTGTTTGGAAAAGGAGTTAAGTGAGTGAGGAAAAGTATCCAGAGGACTGCGTCTTCACTGAATACAAATATAGCCTTTTCTGAGTGTGAAAATGTGGAAAGAGTTTCATCGCTTGTTGGAGCATAGAGTGAAGACAAAGCAGAAATACTGGACAAGTAGAACAAGTTAGTTGCTTGCTCTGGGCTGCTGAAAGCTAAGCTCTTTGACTAGTAACCCTTAAAGCCCTTCTCTACCTATCCAACCAACCAACCAACCGAAAACAAAAACAGACAAAAGAAAAAGCAGGTGCAGCAAAATTATTCCCCAGACATCTTTCAAGATGTTTTTGTTTATCAAAGAAAAATCTCCAGTTGCTTTTTTAAATGCTTAGCAAGCTCTAGGTAGCTCTTAAGGAAGTTTTAGAAGCAACAAAAATTTCCTTTGATAAAGAGACATAACTCTTTATCAAAGAGAGCCAGTGTGGTGTATTGGTTACGAGTATGGGACTGGGACTCAGAGGATCTGGGTTCTAGTCCCCGCTCAGCCATGGAGCCAACTGGGTGACTTTGGGCCAGTCACAGACTCTCAGCCCAACCTACCTCACAGGGTTGTTGTTGTGGGGATAACATGGAGGAGGAGAGATGATGTAAGCTGCCTTGAGCCCACTGTAGGAAAAAGGCAGGATATAAAGGGTGCAATATAAATAAATAAATAAATAACTTAACATGTGTTGGCAATTATATACTGGTACAACTTTCTTTTTTGTATTTGTTTCTGGCTTTATCATTGTTGTTGTTACTTCCAACTAGTATGCTATCTTTTTATCAAA